TAGACGAGTGACTGGCTGACTGCTGGCTGACTGGCAAGCAAAACGGACATGTTTTATTTCCTCCCTACTTTTTCTTGCATATATGCTGCTTCTACTACCCACGGTTAACATTAATAATATCATAAATAATAAATCGATAGGATAGTTGTGAACAAATCAAATTTTGATATACACTTATACGCGTAACTATAAATGTTAAGAATAAATCTAAATCAGGTACGTGTGAAATGTAAACTTTCTCTTTTTGCGATAGGTAAAACAACAACTTATTGCCTGCCTATTTCTTTTACACCTAAGGATTTTCACAGGAAGTCTTTAAAAAAGGAATTGCTGACAATTGGCGAATCCATTCGCATATTCAAACCTAAACTGATAGAGAGGGTCGGTCAGTCAACAACAGCAGCAGCAGCAACAGCAACAGCAACAGCAGAAGCAACATCGGAGTACGTTTCTTGTATGTACGTGTCGGTAAAACTCTGGGTCGTATTGTTGGCCTCGTAGTAGAGCAACCCGTATAAACCCTCGGTCAGAAAAAAGACAGAGAAAGAAAAAGAGAGAAAAAGAGAGAGAGATAGATAGAAAAAGGAAGAAAGACAGAGCGAGAGACGAGGGTTGGAACCTTTTATACGAAGGGTCGGCTGTTGGTCCCTGCTTCTTTTGTCCGGATTGTCGAAGCGACAGCAGAGAAATCCCCCTTCGACGGTTGCAGTCGTTTCTCTGCCTGTCTGGTCTGGGTTGGTCTGAGTTTAGCTTGGGTCTGGCTTGCTTGCTAGCTTGTTCGTACGTTTCATTTTTTCGATCTAACTCAAGTTCCGAATCTCTCTCTAACCTTCTGAGACATGTAAGGTAACTGGACAAATGGATCTTGGATTCTGCATTCCCTGGCTATTTGACAAATCGAATCGATTAGTTGTAAATTGAAAGAAATAAAATAAAATAAAATACAAAATAGAGAGAGGAGAGGGTGGGAGCAGCAGGTTTTTCAGTGGTAAAATAAATGAACAGGAAGAAGAAGAAGAAGAAGAAGAAGAAGAAAAAAGAAAACAACGAGCAAGTAAGCAAGCGAATAAGCAAGCAAGCAAGCGAGCAACTACTAACGAGCATCCATAGTCGTTTTACCATTGCACGGCCTAGAGCTTGCTTGCTTGCTTGTTGGTTGGCCTAGCCAACAGGCTGCTTGCTGGCTTGGGTGTTGGTGAAAGGTGTGGCCGCCTTGGATACACGAGAAAACGAGAATGCAATATTCTCTCTGTTTCTCTCTCTCTCTCTCTCTCTCTCTCTCTCTCTCTCTTTCTCTCTTATTCTCATACATATATTGCTCATATGTATATAATACATCCCTACATACATTGGAAATGATACACACTTACTAGTACGCGTATTCATGTTTATACGCGTGTATGTATGTATCAGCATGAACATGTAGGATATATTCGCAAGAACGTAGCAGCAAAGAGTTCTCTCTCTTTGCTCTCGAGCGTTCTCCATAATTGTTCTCATCCTGGTGGTTCGTTGTTGCCGAAGGTGATAGCCTCCTCCTCTATATGTATATATATATATATATATATATGCGTACGAATGTATATGTTTAAGAGGAAGAGAGAAAAGGTAAAATAGATGGTGGAGGAGGAGGAGGAGAGCCATAGGAAAGAGAAGGCAACGATCGAAACGAACGACTCGTATACAGGTGGTCGGAGCGAAACGATCGAAGAGTACCGCTTAATGGGATTCAACGACCTCTCCTGCCCGTGTCGAACGCTCGACTGTCGTCCTCTTGGTCCTCGCGGGATCCTACTTCTTCTATTTCTTTCCTTCTTCTTCTTCTTAGTTCTTCTTTCTCTTCTCAACCGTGCATAGAACTTTTCCTTCCAACTTGACGTTCTTCTCTCTTTCACTCTACATTCTTCTTGTTTTTGCTTCTTCTTTATCTTCTCAACCGTGCATAAGACTTTTCCAACTTGACGGTTCTTCTATTTTTCTCTACATTCTTCTTGTTTCTTTTTTTTTCCTCTCTTTTCAACCCGTGCATAGGAGGAAGGACTTTTCCAACTTGATGTTATTATCTCTTTTTTTCTTTTCGTTCTTCCTTGTTTTTGATTTCTTCTTTTTTTTTTTTTTTTTGTATTCCGTTCGGAAGTAAGGATAGGAGGAGACTTTGTCAACTTGACGTTAGGGGCGCTACGATTCGCGCTGCATTAAAATGTTATTCGCGCGAGTTCAAATGGGATATATATATATATGTTATCGTCAAAGCCGGAAATTAGCCATTACTAGTAATTCCTAGGCATTGTCAACAATGCAAAGCGCCTTTCGACAAAATCGAAAACAGAAGAATTCTTACAGCTGTTGTGTGGGTGTGTCGGAACGGGGTGTGGGTTGTTTGTGGGTGGGTGGGGGTGCGTATGCTGTGCGTGCCTGTGCCCGATAATGTATTATTTTCAACGTTGCTTAAATAGTAACTTAATAGTAAGTTTCGACTTTGTCGAAAGGCGCTTTTACATTGTTGACAATGCCTAGGAATTACGAGCAATAGCGGATTTCCGGCTTTGACGGTAACATTTATATGTGATAAGAGAAAAAAGAGGGAGAGCGTAAAATGGAAGGAGGAAGAAAGAAGTTATAAAAGGAGGAAAGGAAGGACTAAGAGGAATGGGAAACGTTGCTACTCTCCGTAGCGGTACTGTCCTTGCTCGATCGCCTCAAGCTATGCTGACTTCGCGGTAATAAGCGTTCCCGTGTCCTGAGTTATCCAGCTATTTCTATTCTTTTTCCTAGTAATATATACACAGTTACATGTATTTGTTATATGTATGTGTTTCTCTATGTATAAATGTGTATAGGAATAGTTTGAAATCGTTGATACTCTTAGGCTTCGCATTAGATCGAAATAATCGATGCAATAAATTTTATTTTAAACGGGCTTTCCCTACCCAGTATAGACTCGGAATATTCCCGACATTTTAATGAACAAAAAAATCTTTCTGACGTTAATTTATAATATCAAATGATGATATTTTTTTTCTTTTGGAAAGGAAAAATTATTGATGCCTTTTTTTCTCGATATAACATATGCGAAATGTGTTGGATCGAAAATATTTCGAACAATAATTCGTTCGAAATAATAGAAGAAGTTATTAACGCGAACGTTCAAAATAGAAAATAAGAAGAATATTTGTAAGGAGGTCGACGACGACGACAAGATCGATGATATTAGATGCGAATATTATACTTATGAACATTTTGAGAAACAAAATTGTGTGTTACCTGTCGTAGTTTAATATAATTTTGGAAACATTCTTTTGTCTTTGATTTTGTTTGTTTGTTTGTTTGTTTAGAAATAGTAGCGTTCGAATATAAAGTTTCGTGCGATATTTTATGATATCATTTTGAAAATACCGCCGCCATATGCGAGAATACGCAAACCGTGTTGTATACCTGTAGACACTTGAGTTGTCTTGTACGAGCTAAGAATATCGACGAACGACGTCGCGTGCGCTAGCTAGTACGTCGATAAGACAACGTTTATGTTCGCAGTAAATCGGATTCCTGCCATCGGCGAAGGGTTAACCGCGAGGATGTTGGAAACGAGTTACGACAAAGGTGGCGTCGACAGGTACAGCCACCTGATCGTATGAGAAAGAAGAAATGGTTAGGGGAAAAAAAGGGGTGTTCAAAGAAAGGGTTATGACGGAAGTCAAATAAAACGATCGATGTTTTGCACAATTTTTCACGCGAACTTGGAAATGCAAACAAACGAACGAATAAATTGTTATAATTTCATTAAAACTAATTCTACTATACGATTTATATTCGTAATCGTGTTTAGGCTCGAGACCATAGAAGGCGTGGAAACAAAGCAAGGCGCGAAGAAACCACGATTCTCTGATATAATCCACGCGACTCTTATGTTAGCCTAACCATTCCCCTCTTTTCCCTCTTGGCTTCGTCCGCGATAAATAACTCTGACTATATCCAATTACATGAACTACAAAATATTCCATGCTCGATTATGCGACACCAAGAGATACGCGATCCATCTTTTCAAATGGATCGAATTTTTCAATATGGCGATTGCTTCGATAAAGATTTTGAGATTTTAAGCGAGAGACACACTTAAGTTAAGTTAATTACAAATTATAAAATTCTTATTAATACTTTCTGTGTGAAAGTTTTTAGTAAATCCGTACAAAAAGGATAGAAAGAGATGGAATTATTGTTAGCGAGTTGTTTTCAAATAACATCCCATTTATTGGTATCTCGAATAGAACATTAGGGTGAATTGGAGAACAAGAGTAAGGCAAAGTGCGCCATGTGGTACAAAAATAAAATTCGGCGGAGCGGGCGAACAGGCTAAAGCGCGTGAGCGTGAGCAAGAAGAGCCAAGGTTACGACGAGAACAGCTCGTGAAAGTCAAATTCGTTTGGGACGCAAATGAACCTGAAGAAGAATATGCTCTTTCTCTCTCTCTCTCTTTTTCCTTCTCTCTCTCCTCTCTTTTTCCTTCTTTCTCTCCTCTCTCTCTCTCTTTAAGAGAATTATATTTCTATTTTATTTTTTAAAAAAAAGAAGAAAAAAAACTCCTAAGAGAATTTCATAAAAAAAAAAGAAAAAAGCATTACTATAATTTCTCTTAGGAAAGAAATATCTCTCCTATAAAATTAAGACAAATTTCTTCAGGATTGCAAAATAATGTTGGGATCACATTTTGAAAATCCAAATGATTTTTTTTTAATCGATTGAAATTCATATTCGAGATTGGTTTTTCGTCGTCAACGTAGAGACACGCCGAGGACTGGCTGGCTCTTTCTCCGTTCCGTTGCTGCTGCCGCTGTTACTGTTATTTTTAACTCGACGCCGACGCGGCGAGTCCGTAGTCTAAAACCGTCTACCCTCCTTCCTCCCTGTAGGCTGCCTCGAGTCGCGCCATCATTTCCCCTCCCCTCCTTACCCCGCCGCCCCATCACACTCCTTCTATCTTTCTCTTCTCTTATATTCCTTACCTCTTCCACTCGTTCGTTCGTTCTTCTTCTTTGCTGCTTCTTCTCCTTCCTCTTCTTCCTCCTCTTTCCTTCCATTTCGTCAAGCTTCTCTCTTCCTCCCTATTTTAGAGGCCGCACGCACATTCGAAAGGGATCAAGCGTCTGGCCACGTATATTTCGAAACCTATTTTCAAAGTGGCGGGCCTTTCTATTTTGAAAGTCGTCTAGTCGTACGTCAGAGGCGCCACCGTCGTCGCGTAACTTTCCACGAAAGGAAAATGGAGATGTTACGTCAGTTCTTCCTACACCTACGATATATTCCAATAATATTAGATAGGAAAGAATTTTAAATTCGAAATCGTATAAGAAATAATGAAAGAAAAAGATGGCAAGAGTAAGAGAGAGAGAGAGAGAGAGAGAGAGAGAGAGAGAGAGAGAGAGAGAGACAGAAAGAAAAAGAGAGAGAGAGAGAGAGAGAGAGAGAAAGAAAAAGATCGCGAGTCGAGGAGAAAAGTACATTGGCGAGTCCGGCTCTCTCGTTTGCGTTAGCAAAGTGGGAGAAAATTCGTTTCGAAACTTCGGTTTCCCGCCAGTTGGCACAAAGCGGCAACGTCGAATCGCTTGCGTGGCTCGTTCGCCGGAACGACCAACGATACGGCTGAGTACATAAGCGCGAGAGAGCGAGCGAGAGAGAGCGAGAGAGAGAGAGAGAGAGGGAGGGAAAGAGAGAGAAGGAAGGAGAAACCTCGAAACGTGGCAACGCAGCATCAACACGTCGTAGGACTCGGTTCCGTGCTGATACCCACGCTCTCGAGCCATGCCGCGATGTCGCTTTTGCGCCGAGTAAAATACCTCTACCGGCGAGACTTTCTACTCGCAGGAATGGGGTTGTCGCCGTGAAAACGTTACGCGGGATAATACACTACGCCGTCTATGTGATTTATACATACTAACTCCTAAGGCTAGCGTTAACAACAACAACAACAACAACACAACGACTTCTCATCGGTGAAAGCTATGCGAATTGTGCGCGCCATTTTCAAATCTGTTCTATACAAAAAATATTCCAACTATGGAAATAAATTTATCTGATATCGTATTAAACACACATTGCATGCATTTTTATATTAATTGTATTTATTATAAGAGAAAATTGTAGATAATAAAAAATATGATGAAAAACTTCGCGGATATGATTTTTTTTTATATTTCCGTTTATAGAATTCAAACGAGATTTTTTTTTTAATTCTCCCAAAGTTCCCCGACGGAAATTGTTTGGCACGTCATAAAGTAGAAAACATTCTCAGTTAAATTCGAAAGGCTTTAGCCGAACGGCGTACCACCGGTCGTTTCTTCGCTGTCGGTCGGGGCAACTTTCTAGTTTAGCTGACGTGTATAGTGAGTTCGTTCGTCGTCGTCGTCGTAATGTATGAGCTCACGCGTATGTGTGCGTGTGTAGTCGCGCGCGCATTCGACGCAGGAGCGCGTCGGCCTTCGTCGAAGTGTTGAACGTATATACGTGAGAGAGTTCTTCGTCGAGCCAGGCTTTCTTTCTTTCTTTCTTTCTTTCTTTCTTTCTTTCTTTCTTTCTTTCTTTCTCTTTCTCTTTTTCTCTTTCTTTCTTTCTTTCTTTCTCTCTCTCTCTTTTTCTTTTTCTCTTTCTCTTTCTCTTTCTCTTTCTCTTTTTCTTTCTCTCTCTCCTTCTTATCTCTGTGTCGTTTGCGCTCGCGCGCGCATGAGCGTGGAGGAAAACTGGTTCCTGGAGAATAGAGCAACTACGCGTTACCAGCGCAAGAGGAACGAGAAACGAAACGAAATGAAAACCTCTCGACACCCTCGCACGCCAACCGTTTGCCTTAATGTTTGGTCGTCGTCGTCGTAGTTGTTGCCGTCGTTGTCCACCACACCGATGATCCTTTTTACATGCTACAGTATAATATATAGGTGGTGCATGTATACTAAATCTACATATAGATACATTTTATAGGACTAGCAAGGACAAACGGCAAGGTGTCCCTAGTCATCGTCATCGTTTTCGTTGTTGTCGTCGTCGTCATTGTCGTTCGTCGTCGACGTCCACGCTGATAAGCGTCCCGTTTTCCGAGCTTCGATCGAACACACGCTGCTATGTTATCGATCTCAATTCTATGAAAGCATTTCTCCTCCTTCATTGCTTCGGGGAGGATTTCAATCGTGTAAAAGAGAAAGAAAAAGAAAGAGAGAGAGAAACGTATTCGAAAATATACTTAAGACGTGTGTTAGCTTACACGTATCTCGATCTTTCTTTCTTTCTTAATTAGTATATTTGATAGATACCCTCTAAGAGGTATAAGCAGAAGGTCATCTTAGCGTTTCGCAAATAATCGAGTTAAAAAAGAGGCACGAGGCGGGTTGCGTGTCTCTAAGCAAAGATAACCCTGCTGCCTTACCGACCGAGCGTTCGTTGTACGTCCTCGTCTCGTCCTCGACGTCGACGTCGCTTCGCATGTAATCTTTCTCGTAATTCTCCTAGCGCTCCTTTTTTACTCCCCCTTTTTTACTCTCCTCCTCTAGCAGCGCTGCTGCTGCTGCTGCTATATACTTCCCTTCCAACTATTCCCAACCCCCTACTCCACAGCCCCACGCTCTTTCTTTCGCTCGACGACCTCTCACACGCGCTACGTACACCCACACAAGGACGACCATCCGCCTTCTCCACTACCCCTCCTCCCGCTGCCATCCTTATCCGACCGGAGGGTAGTTTTACCCTCGCAAGGGGGCAACGGGTTGATTGCACCGAAGGCCTCGCGTTTGGTAATCGACTCTCTCCACCTCCTCAACCTCCTCCACCTCTACCACTCTTCTCTTCTCCTCTCTTCTCTTTACCCTACGTCGTTCCATTTTACTCTCTCGTGTTCCAACGTTGGGATATCGCTCGATCTTTCTCTACCAGCATTCCCCTTTTTCCGCGCACCTCGCTCGATCTACCCCCTCTTTCACTGTAAAGAGTATGGGATAGGAAGAGAAGGAGGTAGAAGCAATGGTGGTGGCGGTGATAGTGGTGGTGGTGGTGGTGGTAGCGATAGAGGAGAAGAGAAAGAGAGGAGCAGTGTTGCCATGGCAACGCCCTATGCACAAGTAATGTGCCGCTCTTTGTCCGACACGTTCTACATCCTTCTCACGCTACCCCCACTCCCTTATCGGCGCTTTGCAGTACCCCCACTTTCGGGGCAAGTATCACGCTTCTGCGTACAGGGCCGTTCACGCACTACCGCCGTCTATCGACGATACCGCGAGGAGCCAGCCTTTCCACGAGGACGAATAACGGACGCTCTCGAAAGGAGAATACGAGACAACCGGCCAGCCAGCCAGCCAACCAGCCAGCCAGAAGGCTGGTAGGTAGACAATTCGAGTAAAATCGTCGTAAGAAAGTGGAGTGTAAAATCGACGGAGGGACATAATAGAAGAGCTGCATTAGCCGCGTAATCGCAAACGCGATTTTTTTCCCTCCCTCGATTACTCTAGGCTATCTATTTTCAAGAAATTTTCTTCCACTTAGATAGTATTCCTCTTACCCTATTTATATTTGAAAATATACGAGAAGAGAAAATTTCTATATCTCAGACACTTTAACGAAACATCATGCATCAGGGTTGGGTAAAAAACATAGGAAAAATAGGGGAAAAAGGGATGTTTGAATCGAGCGGTATAATTGCCGGCGTTACCACCAGCGCCGTATACCACACACTACTACCTACCGCTACTACTACCACTACTACTACTACTACACTAGGTATTACAACACTCTCCCCACCTCATCCCTCGAGATATAGATTTTCCGTTGGAGCCAAGCCACCGTTGGGAGACGTTCGGTTATAGGGGGCTTTGAAAAACGCGTCTTCTTGAAATTACCGACGGAGATAGATGAACGGGACGGAAAGATAGATACATATATAGAATCAAGTCGAAGGATAATAAGAAAAAGAAAGAAAAAAAGAAAGAAAGCCAAATGATACGAGGTAGGCAGGCAATAGTTTCCTACGTGTGTCCTTTTTCTTTTTACGCAACGACTAAGGAGAAGGAGGAGGAGAAGACCATCAATCGATCGATCGAGTTCGATTTCATCTTTATCATTTTTTTTCTAACCCTTTCTCGATTGGAACAAAATCAAGAAAAGAAAACTAATAAGAGCAGGTTGTGCGTGACAAAACGTTCTCGACAAATTCACCTTCGTGTTGTTACCTTAGTTGAATGTTCAAGAATAATGCAAACGAAGGAGTTGGTCGATAAGGATAGGAAAAAACAAGTGGAGAGAAAAAGGAGGTAGAGAGGGAGAGAAAGAGAGAAAGAGAGATATAGGAAAAAAGAAAGGGAGATAAAGAGATAGAGAAATGAAACGAGAAAGAAAATAAAGCAAAAAGAAAATAAAAGGAAAGCAAAAACAGAAGAAATGTAAAGAGGAAGAAGGGGGTAAAAGGATACTAATCGCATGATGATGCCGAAGAAACGAAGGTTTCGTTGGCGTCCGTGTGAAACTGGTTTGAGAGGATGTGATGCGGGTCTCTCGCACGCATACTGCTGCTTTCGAAGAGTCCACCTTGAAAATTCCTCCGAGGAGAGCGCGCGAGCACGTTCGCCATCAAGTAGAAGAGAAAGAGAGAAAGAGAGAGAAAGAAAAGAGTGAGTGTGTGTGAAAGACAGAAGCTATCTTCACACGCGCACGATCTGTTCTGTTGGTAGGAAAGAGAAGAAGAAGAGGTAAGATCAAGGCGTCCTTGCGCCGAGATGACCCATTTCAATGAAAACGTATACACACACACACAACGTACATGCGCGCATACGTGAACCTCATCGAAGTACTCGATGTTGAAAAGAAAAAAAAAAAAATCCAAAAAGAAAGGAAAAACAAAAGGAAAGAGAGTACAGAGAAGTGAAGTAGAGAAAGAAAAAAAAGAAAAGAAATCAAATAAAAGGCGTCGAGAGAGTGCGTGGCACGATTTATCTCTCTTTTCTCATTCTGAAATAATACATACGTTCCAAATTAGGTATACACCGTAAAGTATATATACAGGTACATATATATATATATAACGCGTGCGTTATGAACGAAAAAGAAAGAGAGAACTATACACATACACGTATATATTTATATATTTTGTGTGAGGCTAGCACGATATAACCTAGCCTAGCTAGGACATACATAAATATATAAATATATATATACATACATATGTATATATATATTGTATGTATGTATGTATGATTCACATATAAGTACACCTTTTATTATACATATATACGTTTATATATTAAATGTATATACAATTTA